TTTTATAGTAATTTTAAAATCTAATAATATTTTTATATTCTCATTCGTTCGTCATAATAGGCAACTTTTTGACACAATAGAAAATCATTAAATGATGTTAATGCATGGTCAAATTTAGAAGATGATATAACTAAATAAGAATAGCAAGAATAATCAAAGTTCATTTTATATCATATTAAATTACAAAATTTAATTAATTCAAAATTGAGATGCTTGAAATTAGTTCAATTATGCTATTGTATGACCAAAAGTATTTACTCGGGCCATTAGGACTGAATAGCTCATGACCTAATCATCAAAACCCTGAGCAGCTACTCGAACAAGTAGAGACCTATTAGCTCTTGGTCAAACCATCAGCTCTTGGCCAATCCATCAGCAGAAGCGGGTCGAAGGGTTGAATCCATAAGTGGACTACAAAAGTTCATTACAGGACATCAAACGATCAAATAGAAGTCAATAAAGCACTAACGGGCCGAGTAAGGGAACCCGAGTGTAAAATCATCAAAGGCGAAGAACCTTCCAGTTTAATAAAGAGGCTAACCAGAAGGTGATCTCTATAATGCCCAAACTTTAATGGGGATATGACCATCAAAGATGACTATATGTACTTAAGGCCCTAGGAGTAATAGGGGTCTGAATAATTTATTTTACAAAGATCAATTCCTGTAAATAAATGGTATTAAATATAGACTTGAATTCTAGATCCTCAATTTGAACCTCAAATTATTGATCCTGCTTTTAAATTTACACTCCCCAAAGCTAAGGAAAAATCCACTCAAATTTTCTTCATCTTGCTCATTCTTCCCTTTAACTCAGCTGCTTATATCTCATCCCTTATTCTCTCTATTTTCCAACACTCTATTCCTTATATGTGATTTAAGGATAAATCTATTAACACTAAAAATATATGGTGAGCATGGATCATTTTAGAAAAAAAAGAACAGTAACACAAAGAGAAGAGCCTAGCCACCAACAAGTTTTGAGCAATATAGACGACAACAGAAATTTCGTTACTTAACAGTTCCATGAGTTCAAAAAGCTTATGATCAAAATGATTAGAGAAACACTTGCTCAAGCAACAATGCTGCCACATCAACAGACAACTTCTCTGCATCAAAAAAGAGTTTCTTAGCCCTAGATGAAGCAGATGACTCCTATTATCCGGACAACACTTCCTCAACCCCATCGAATCGCGATAGGCAAAGAGGTGTTGATGCACAACTACCTAAAGATCGAAAGAATCCTTCTCCTTGGAGATCTCTAAAGTTGAATCTTCTGAGTGCTTCAAGAACTAATCCCTTGAATCTTATTGAGGGCAGTCAGAACCTTCTGACCATGTTTCATCTTTTGAGTCCATCATGTGTCTATTTAGGATAAAACACACATTGAAGTGTCGACTCTTTTTCAAGATTCTTAAGGGTCCGCCCTATGATTCAACTGCTTTCCATTAGGAGTGATAAACTCTTTTCTAGGTTCAAGAGAATGTTCATAGCGTAATACATCAGTGCGCAGAAAGCCCGCACAAGGGTTCAAGAAGTTGTTGCAACACTGTTAGAGGCATGAAGAGTCTATATGTGCTTTTATAACTCACCTACAGAAGAAGATATTGGAAGTACGAGACCTAAAACATATAGTCTCCCACACTAAACTAGCTCAATTACTAAAGGAGGGTCCATTCCGCTATACCTTGAGCTTGAAACAACAAAAAACAATAGCTAAGTTGTTAGAACTCACCAACAATCACATATCAAAACAAGAACACAACTCGGATTTGGTCCGTATGAGGGCTATATTTTTGAAACAACCACATCTTTTTCCTCACAAGTTGGATGAGGATCTTCAACTGGATGTGTGTGATCGATTAGGCGAGCAGATTGAATCAGTTGAAATCTTCTCCCAAATTCACCAAATTCATCCTCTTCAGCACCGTGTATAGTTTCTCAGACCGGACCAACTCGAACAAGAGATAGGGGTACTCTGAGACTTCTAATACCTCCCCAATGGGCATGCCAGTGTATCAATTCTTTCTGGTCCACCATGGAAAAATTTTCACCAGAGCTGGCCTACATGTTGTAGTTCTCCTCCATTGAGGAAACCCACCTCAGAGGAGAACCTACACACCGCAATGGAGGAGGGAGTGAAGGGGAACTCACATCAATCGACTATTTCCCCTCCCATTGCGGAGTGGTTTTGTTCTCAAGATTCAGCCTCACATGCCTCCTTATCTCTTGAATCCCACACCACCTCAACAGGAGTTGACTGGCGTGCTTCGGCCCTTTCACTAGCATCATGAGAAGGCATGTCAAGCTTCTCAGGTCCCTCGGATCCTGGGTTTGGGGACACCCTCCTTTCAGGACTTGAGACTTGGGGGTTGAGAGATCCAGACAAAACACCCGGGTGCCCTCAGAGGACCCAACATCTATCTAGCAATGATCTGTTAATAAATTTTACTTAAAAAAAAAAAGAAAAGGTCCCTTGCTAGTTCCGAAAGTACCAGATGGACTTTGCGACCACAAAACACACCAGATCCTGTGAAACATTTGTCATTTGCTTTTTCCCGGTTGTCCTAGCGGTCCCAACTTTCGTCATCTCATACTCCCTAGTGTCATACTTACTCCATAAGTTGGCGGTCATAACACCAAACTTCTCCAAACACAAGGTCATGTTGACCACAGTCGCCTCCAAGTAAGGATGTAGAGACAACTCTCAGCCTTCAACCACATCTGCATAGATTGTTTTGGATGACGGGAGAGTCTTCATTTTCTAATAAATAATTTTAATACATCGCATTGTAAAATAAATTCAGTATTAATAAATAATAACTAAAAAAACAATCAAAATAAAAATGTAAATGACTCTTGATATGTCTCCAACAAATCTACATCATTCGACATGAATCTCGAGGCAAGAGTCATCTGTAACTCCAATTTTAGCAAACATATGGTCAAACTAATTGGCTCGATCTGACAGACCTAATGATATAAAAATAAGTTCATTCTGAGTTAAATCAAGCCCAAATCAAGTCATTAAACCACACTTGGAATATTTTTGAACACATTTGGAAAATAAAATGGATGTCAAATTTAGTAAGTTCATGGTCGAATCGAGTGTCTCGATAAGACGTATCTAACAAGCCTAAGATTGCTCAATTCTGAAATCTTTAAGGAACTCAAATGTCCATCAATCACTGTTTCATCGAAGGAAGCTCTCTGGACCTTCTGATAAAAATGGTTCATATTCCTGCATTAATTGTAACTAGAACATTATAAATAGACCCCCACCCCTCACATAAGGTAGAGAACATGAACTTTATGAGAAAATATGAGGCTTTGAGAAGAAGCTGAAGTCCAGCACCATCCCGATCATCGTTAACCACCACCGACATCTATCGACCACCGCCGATCGTTATTATTTGGGTGGTGGCAGCATGATATGGGTTAAAGAGTGAATTTCTATGTTGATCAGAACTATCACCAGTATCAATACTAAGTGCAGGCCAATGAGACTTTAGTGGGAATGATTAAGCAAGGACACAATAGAGTTGTATGATATTCAGCTTCCCGACATGCCACCTTTCATTTTATGGAGATACCTCTAAGCCGATAGAGGAGGAGGAGGAGGAGGATGATAGGGGCAGAGATGTCAAATCGCTTTGATATGATGACTGCGTTTCTGTGATTAATTATTTTTCTTACTTTGTTTTCTTTTATTTATTTTATTTGTGTTGGATATTGTTGTGGTTATGATGTTGGACACATGGCTTATGGATGTGACGTTGTACATGTTGTGATTATACATATTATTGCTTATTTCATTTGTTTAGGCAAAATACTCTTCCCTCCATGTGACTTCTCACTTATTAAGTCCTTGGATGGCCTGGGCTCATGATTATACTTCTCTATAATCTTGTGGCCGTTGACACGCTCTAGAAACTTAATTGAAGTCTTGGGTTTTTGAAAGACGAGCATACTTGGACGTGCCTTCTCTAAGACCTATGCTAAAGCACATGGGTGATGGCTCGTATGAGGTAATTCACAGCCAACATCTCCATCTAGAAACTGTTGATGAAAATTCTCAATGATTCTTCAAGTTGCTTCCACATTCACAATAGAGCCCAAAAATTTTTTTGTGGCTTCAACATACTAACAAAATGTATGAGGAATATCCTCTTGAACTTTATAAATGAAGTGATTAATCCCATGGGCAAGTGAACCCTTCAAGGCAAACTCCTTCAGGGTGGTGAAGAAGAGTGACACTCTAAAACTTTATTAATGTTAAGCAATGAGATGACAACCTCAAAGGAAGGCAAATAAACTAATGGTTCTATCTCTCGTTAAAAGAAACACAAATTCATGGAGAGAGAGAAAGAGAAGGGAGACGAGTCCTCTCTTAAGAGGAGAAAAGGGAGGGGAAAAAAGATCTTCCTATCGGTCATTCTCTAGCATATATAGCTTTTGCAGTGTCATTTACATTAGAATAATATCTGAGTAAAATGCTTGAAAATACATAAGACTAAATGAAATATATGCAAGCATACCGCTAAGACAAAGTGCCACATCTCAAGCACGTGAAGTGTATAGCTTTATGTAATCCAGCCATATTGTGTGCTGCAACGATGTACAGTGATCAGGGTGTCCAAGGGTGAAATGCATGCATAGAATGACTGAATTGAAAGTTTGCTTGGCCCGAGTTAACCAGTGGGAGAATTGATCATCCAATGGTCCATGAGGCAACTTAGTGTTATCTAGGGCAAGCTATACCATATCCTTTACAAATTCCTCGCTCAATCGGGTTTGACATGAATTTTCATCACGATCACGTATGTCGAGCCATTGGCTCAAATTCACATCGCAGGTCATATGAGTGTACAAACTTGAATATTGTGTGTTTAAATATAAATATTTAAATGTAAGTTGTATTATTATATAAGAATTATGCATTATGCATGTTAAATTTTTTTAATGTTAAATTATACTTCTTTTTCATGAATGGAGCAAATGGAAAGCAGGTAGATGGAAAGTAGATAGATTTTTGTTTTTAATCAAATTTCCTTTCATACAGATCCAGCTTCTGTCAAATAAAATACGATCGGAATAACGACATGCAAGGGACTCCTTCAAAGGTCCACGGCTAAATACCCTCCACTTCTGACTTTCTTCTCCAAGTACTATTTTTCAAATCACCCACCTGCTCCCTTCTTTGATCCAGCCAAGCTAATCTGCCCATGGAGTCCTTCCACTTGTGCTCATTCCGATTCAATCAGTTCTCGAACCATGGATCCACGGCGGATTGTTTTGCAGTAGGGTTTTGATTAAGAAAGCTTTCTCTTGCCAAATTTATGCTGCATCTCGTCTTTCACTCTTAATTAATTTGCTTGCTCTAGAATTGAATAGGAAACAAAATCAAGTCTCTGATCCCCGGTTGAGATAACCAATCATATGTGATGCCACTGTGATAAATGCGGTTAGAAATCAGGAGTTTTTGGGAATATTTTGGTTTATAGCCTCGGAGCAATCTACAGAATGGGGATGAGAAAGGCGTCGCCATTTTTTGTCGTTCTATTGGGATTTGGGTTCTTCATTGCGACCTACAATCTCGTGGCTCTGGTAATGCATAACCAAAATTGGAATTCTCCACTGCAATTGGTGGATCGTTCAAACCTTGCTCTTCGATCTGATCCTGTTGTTAGGATGCCAAATGAATTGAAGAGGTCGGGAGGTCCAAAGAGGCTGTTTCATGTGGCTCTCACTGCGACCGATGCGCCTTATAGTAAGTGGCAGTGCAGAATAATGTACTATTGGTACAAAAGGATGAAGGATGTAGAAGGATCAGAAATGGGAGGATTCACGCGGGTTCTGCATTCAGGGACTCCGGATAATTTGATGGATGAGATCCCTACCTTTGTCGTCGATCCTCTACCTGCTGGTATGGATAGGGTAAGGAATCTTCCCTCTTAATAATTTCTCCAGATTTCTTGAGATATGCATGCTTGATTATATTTTATATTCCAGAATCTTACATCTGGTTGATATTCATTTCTTCGTGGTTTTCATTTCTTCGTTTTCATTTTTTTGAAATGTTGCTCTCCCATGAACAAAAATATTGTGATTAAATTAAGTATGGTGGTTCTGTTGCATTATTTTGATTGTTCTTTCTATTTGGATAAATCTTTCTTTTGCCTTCTGCTGTTTGTCAGTTTCCACGGCATTTGAACGTATATTGTTATCTTAATGATGGAGTTTTAGTATAATATTGAAGTCTGTATCATTATTAGGTTAATAATTTGGTTAGAAACCTCTTGGACTTTGCTAATTATGCAGAAATTGCTTTAAAAGAATGTAGGCTCTTATTGCTACTCTCTCAATTGGTTTTCAGTTGCTCTTAAGTGTATTTTATTTGATATTTTCTTCGGTAAATCTTGCTACTATACAAATTAGAGATTTTTTTAAGGTTGAGAATTGTATTAACTCTGTCTTTGATCATTCTCGTGTAAGAATCGTATGGGATATGCTGCCTAGTTTAATGTTATTGAATATATGAAATGTTTTGCATTATAGTGGACTGCTTATTAAAATTCTGACCATGTCTATATTGACAAGTTTTTGGAGACTTTTTTCAGTTCTTTTAATCTTGAATTTGAATTGGATTGTAGACCAATACATCTCCATCGCCTGAGTCGCTTGCCTCGCTTTTTTTTATTTGAAATTGTTATTTTTTGGAAGATTTACATGTATACACCCAATTCTTATGTATTTACATATCTAAAAGCTAAACTTCAATTTTTACATATAAAACACATTACCTATGCATCAGAAGCTGTATTTCACTTTAAAAAGGTTAAAATAGTGATCTTTTTTTTTTCGTATGATATGAGAGCAATCTTTATTTGTTATATAAATTTAGGTGGCATAAATCTTTATTTGTTATATAAATTTTTTTCGTATGATATGAGAGCAATCTTTAGGTGGCATAAATTTAAAAAGCAATCTTTATTTGTGATATGAGAGATTTAGGTGGCATAAATTTAAAAAGCAATCTTTATTTGTTATATATGTAAATACATCAGAATTTGGTGGTATGTATGTAAATGCCCCTTTTATTTTAAGGAAACATTGGACAATATATTGCTATTTTCTTGTAACATTTTGTTTGGAACTTCTTATACAATTTTCTCTTTTTTACCTCACTCTCTTTCTGTTTGAGAGCTTATTGGGATTGATATATACATTATTAGTGGATTTGTAACATTCTTCAGTTATAGTGTTATTATCATATTCATTGTCTTCAGATATTGCTTTCAGGGTTACATCGTACTGAATCGACCATGGGCATTTGTTCAGTGGCTGGAAAAAGCAAAGATTGAGGAAGAGTGAGAATATTTAAACGTGCTTAACCCCCTCTTTGTGCTTTCTTTGCATGCCTTACAAAATTCTTTTGTTTGATCGACTTTTACAGTTACATATTAATGGGAGAACCAGATCATGTATTTGCAAATCCTTTGCCAAATTTGTCTCGTGGAGATTACCCAGCAGCATTCCCATTCTTCTATATTAAACCATCTGACAACGAGAAAATCATAAGGAAGTTTTATCCTGAAGAGAAAGGTCCTGTGACAAATGTTGATCCTATTGGCAATTCCCCCGTCATAATAAAGAAGGTAGCTATTTTGGTTGATGCATGTACAGTATAAAATTTCAAACTTTTAGACTTCAAGTTTAGTTTATTAAATAGCTACACTGATTACATTGTCTGAAATTCTTTCTAGTACAATAGGTTAAATCCTTTTTTTAATTGTTTGTTTTTTTTGTTTTGTTGGATCTGTCCAGTCTCAGCTTGAAAAAATTGCTCCAACGTGGATGAATGTCTCCTTAAAGATGAAAGAAGATCCGGAGACTGATAAAACTTTTGGATGGGTGCTTGAAATGTGAGCTTAATTCTCGTATTATCTATTTTCATGTTTTTTTATTTTTTATTTTTTTTTGGAACCATGTTGATTGATTTTAGGTTTGTTTCATGTTGACCATAGGTATGCTTATGCTGTTGCAAGCGCATTGCATGGTGTGCAACATATTCTTCGTAAGGATTTTATGATACAGGTATAAGTTTATTATGCAATTCTTTGGAATTTGATTTTTGATCTTTGTATGTATACGTTGAGTTGGTTCTAGAATGCCTAATATATTGAAATGTCTATCAGCCGCCTTGGGACTTGAAGGTTGGGAAAGCATTCATTATCCATTACACTTATGGTTGTGACTACTCTTTAAAGGTGATTTTTTTCTGCTTCAAAGAATTCGTCTACCGTCACTTTTTCTTCAGCCGCTACATTTCATTTTTTTCAGCCCTAATTGTGTGTTGATCTTTTTAATTTTTAAAGGGTGAACTGACTTATGGAAAGATTGGGGATTCATTTTTTTCAGCCCTAATTGTGCGTTGATCTTTAAAGGGTGAACTGACTTATGGAAAGATTGGGGAATGGCGCTTTGATAAGAGATCACACCTTCAAGGACCAATACCAAGGAACCTTTCTTTACCCCCACCAGGAGTTCCTGAAAGTGTGGTATATTCATCACTTCTGATTGAATATTTGGATTATTTTTTGGAATTTCTTATGTTATTATCTGAAAATTGACTAGGACTTTACAATGATAGTGTATACATAAAAAGCACATATTCTCTGACTGATCATTATTGCTATTTTTACGGTTTTCTCTACTTTTTGGGCCAGTTTTGACTCTGAACTTGTTCTGGTACTTTTTATTTCAAAAATTTATTCTTTGATTCCCTTTTTCAGGTTTTATAGGCATTGCCTTTGGCTTTTTTCTACTACATTATGCTTGTTCTCAATGGTCGACACTGTGGCCTATTTCAATGCAATTATATATGAAAATTATTGCTACTAGGATCCAAATTTTTTTGACGTTTTGAGAATTAGAAGAAAATTCCTTATTCTGGCACGTTTTATGCATACCTAGTTAATATGGGGAACTTTACTTGGAATCATAATATTTCTTTGTACTAAATCATAATGTTCTTTTAATTGGATATATAATATTTTTGTGTGCTAAATTATATGATGTTCTTATTAAATGGCCAGGGAATGAAAGTCCAAGAATATGGTCAAATTGGTCACTTTTTGATGAGAATCATCACCATTATAAAGCACTAAATATTATGCATGCATGTTGTATGCACCAAAACTGCCAGCATGAATCTCAAAGCGATCAAGCGACCAAGGATGATGGTCGGACAATCGATGTGTTTGACTAAAAGAGCGTGATCTGAACCAGTCATCCGACGACTGAACGCTCGATCGAGAATACCAACATGCAATGTTGGTGGATCCAATCAGCATACCACGCTTACAGTCCCAACTACCTGGACTTCTTGCCAGAAGGCTTGTGAGTCTTACCCTCCGTCGCTAACGGGGAGGAGTTGATACCCTCATAATGGCAACTGTCGAACACACGTATTACATTCCTTAAGGACGTGAAAGCAGTGCAACATTTCCCCATTGGACACTTTGCCCGTTCGCCTGGTGGGTTGATCTCGATAGTCCACCTACTCGAGTATTCGACGCCCGACTCGGAGGAAATCCTTTCCTTTGACACTCGACTCGAAGAAAAAAGAGAAACTAGCACACTACTCAAATGTGGTCGGTCACTCCTGTTGGTGAAAGGTCACCTTCGCCTTCAATTTCTCGCAAAGTTAACCAGACTCTTATTACTCTCCACTAATTAGCAATTTTTATGTGATTGTGAAAGCAAGCTCCCGGGGGGTTGCCCTCCCAAGTGACGACAAGTTCCTCGCCTAGCAAGAGGAATAAACCTGACCGAGGCAAATATCTAATCCATCGAACGCGGTGGGGGTAAGCGATGACTTAGGCCATCGGGTAAACTGATCAATTGATGTATATTAATTGAATAACGTGAAAAATATTTGAAAACTTGATTTGACTACCAATCGACAATTCGAGTCAAACAAATCCATGAAATTGACAATCGGTCGGCGTGAAATCATGTGATATATGAGATTCAAGATTTAGCCCCGAGGATTGATCGAAACACTTACCAGCAACAAGATTCACGATATGTCATAATGATTGCTTCAAACTGAGTCTTTCTAGAGGCAACAATCCCTCTGAACATGGTAAGTTAAATATCCCCGTTGATTGATTAATGCGGCAGGCTCACTTACGAGATGAGTACACAATTAATAGGATCGCAATTGATTCAAGACAACTTCCAAATAAGCAAAAACTAACAATTTTTTCTTATATGAAAAAAGATTTACAAGTATCTTTTCTTACGGCCTTTCAAAACAAAAAGGATTTTATGTTTTTCTCGAGCCAGGTTCTAGCAGGTGATCGATTGGTCTTCACTACCAGAACCTTCTACTTCCTTGGAGGTTCTTCAGACTTGTCTGGAATCAGGGTGGAGAACTCATCTGGGTCAGAGAAATTGGGGTCAACAAGACCATGGTGAATAAATCGTTGAATGTCATGGTCCACCCCACACCTAAGTTGCTTCATCAGGCTGTCCTTATGTTCTCCCTTGGAAATGGACGAGGCAACCTGTTTCTTCAGCTCCTCGACCTCTTTCTTCAATGCTTCTATGGCATCAATGGATTCTTGATTTGCCTTGGTAAAAATGTCCAATTGAGCTACAGGAGATCCCAACCATCGCGAACTCTCCCTAGCTTCGCTTTCTGAAAGTCCTTGGAAGTGAGCGGCCTTTGTCGCCATCAAGAGGAACCGATCCACATTCTGGCAAAGCTCTCGGGGGTTGAAGCTTTCCAGATTTTGGTCGAGCTCCTCGGACCACAACAACTCCAGTAGAAGCGAAGACATACCCTTATTCTCAGCCGCGACGGTGTTAGGCTCTCGACGTGTCCAGAAGACTTATTCATTTGTTGGTGCCGACCAACGTCCGCCCAGCTCCTTTCCTGCTCCTTTCCTTGCCAGGGAATGATTTTCCCCTCCGGGGAAGGCGAAGGCTCGTAACCGGAAGACGGTCTGCTTCTTTTGGCGACGACACAAAAGAAGATGGGGGGAGGGGCCGGCAAGCCTCTGCCCGCTCGGGCAGGGCAATGAAAGGTGAACTGCCAAACCTTGAATCTGGCGGAACAACGATAATCAGTGCACATCGATCAACATGCCAATTTTTTAGGAAGAGGGGGTAGCGGTCAGAAACAAGCCTTTTATTGCCTTCTCGTGCATCAACAAAATGAGAAACATATTTTCGAGCAATAATATTATCATCGTCGGTCACTATATCTTGAATAGCAACAGTAGTTTTAAGTACAAAAGTAATATATCTCGAGGTCACACTGCTCCTGTTTCTGTTGCCTGGTAGCTAGCTTCTCCTCACCGCCCTTGCTCGGACTGCCTCATTGATGTCCAAGAGACGCCATCCATCCTTAGTCATCTCACCCTTCAACGTCCGGGTGACTGTTGCCTCAGCCGTGTACTGCGAAACCGAGAGATGGTGACCGATCAACATTGCCTCAACAATGTGCATATCCTTCGGATGGGACTTCACCTTGTCCCCCATTGGCTCTGACGGCTTGGTCCAAATGCCCCAGTCGTCGGAGCAGGAACCGACCAAAAACTTTTTACTCCAATATTTTATCTTATTTTCAACTCCGAGCAGTTGGAGTTTTTTGACCGGCCGAAAACATTGAAAAACCCTCCCTTATCAAACTTAAACGAATAAAAGTAACTAAACAGGTTGATCGACCACGAGATGCACTCTCTACGACTGAAAAGCATGAAGGTCATTATCGCAGCTATGGAATTCGACAACACTTTAGTCGGAATAACCCCTTATATATTAAAAACGCTCCCGAGCTCGTCACACAGGCAACAGGAGATCGTACTTAAAGTGGTCTCGATAAAAGACCAGTTCTTTACCCACATTTGTCCGTCGCACGCGCCGAACTCGACATCTTCTGAAGGACGATGCTGTCTTGTATAATATATTCCCCTGCAACTCTATCACATCATTCTTTGTCAAGAACGAAGAATCAACACCCTCAACTGTGTCAAAAAAGGTAAGAGAGTATTTGGGAGTCATCGCAAAGAGCAAAAGAAGACTAGAGGATGAAGGAAGAAGAAGAAACAAAGGCACAAAGAAAGAAATAAAAAAAATGTAAAGGGTAAAAAGCGGTCCCTCACCCTATTTACAGGGCGGACGCGTGAAACGAGATGTCACATAATGATAAGTGTTATACCAAACATCCTTTCACATTAATTTAAATGCATTTTTATTACAATTAACATTATTATAGATCCCGAACAAAGTATTTTATGATTTGGTCTTCCAATGCTTCAGTCGGGACGTCAGCCTTCAGAGGACCAACACTCCTAATCTAGTCTGCCCCACTCAATTGGTGTCACGCTAGAACTTGCTCAAAACGACAACTCTCAGAGCACTCCCAGTTCACACAGTACCGCTGTCAACCCACTTCTCAAGGTGACGATCTCCGCTCGCAGGGCCGCTACATCTGAATCCTTGGTCGCCAGACGAGCCAACAATTCCCGCACCAGGATCACCTCTCCCATCAAAGGTCAGACCACATCTGTCTGTCACTCTAATTGTTCTTGCTGGAAACCACCAAAGTGGCCGAGCAGAGTCGAAAAAACGGAACTAGACGCAACCAAATAACAACCGATAGAGAAGGCGCATAGATCATGCTCTGCGTCCCGATCGCAATAAGGGTAACAAACTCAGAGACATCTTTAAGATGGTCCACCATCCTTGCGGTCTTCCGACTCGACCGATTCAGTCTCATTAAGATAATGTCAAGAAATTACTAAAGACCGCCAATAATCAAAGAAAATTCTCACATACTTAAAAATTTGCCTATTGAAGAAAGAGCCTTTGAGAGCGTCTCTCTCTCACAACAAGGTACCTCCGTTTTTCTGTGGTGACGGCTAAGGAGGGCTGGTGACTGCCGTTTCTGTCGGTCCCTCTTCACTGGCCTCAATGCCTTCGGCAAACTGGTCTTGACGGCCCTCTTCACGCCCATGCTAGGCTCGGGAGCCGGGGTTCTTTGGTGAGGCTTTTTCATCGCCCGCCTCTCAGGACTTGACGAGCCGACTTGATCGGCCGACATAGGTTCGGGTCTCGACCGCTTATCTTTTTTTACAATCTTCTTCTTTTTTCTTTATAGGGGCAAGGATTCGAAAGCCTACCATACCCAAAAGTTCAACATCTATATTGTCTTGGCTCAGACCATTTGTCATGGTGTGCCTCAACTATCTAAGAAAAGTTAGCAACAAGGAATGTAAATTCCAACCCCATGGTCCAATTTATAGGACTCACTGGGTACATAACCCAAATGAAAGTTAACTATATAATTAATTTTCTCGATTTTGGTACCACTGATTGTTTAATAGTTTCTTTGTCATTGTCATAGTTGTCAATTTCAAGGAGCAGGAAACTTGGGGTACTCATATTTATGCACCAAAACTATCAGCATGAATCTCAAAGCGATCAAACGCGACCAAGATTATGGCTGGACAATCAAAGTGTCGGACTAAAAGAGTTTGATTTGAACTAGCATCCGACGACCGCCCACTCAATCGAGTCGACTGACATGCAATATCTGTGAATCCAATCGTCAGACCACGCTTATGGTCCCAACTACCCGGACTTTTTGCAAGACGTACAGTCATAACTAATCGACTTATCAGCTTTACCTCAACAGGAGCAATCGTCACGCGAACGATAGTCTCGGTCGGCCGAATTCAAATACGCCGACCGGCTGATATCCGTTATAGTGCATTCAAATTGTAACGCAAATCTGATATTACATTAGCGCATTAATTGGATTAAGTGTGATTCCATAATTGTTCCATCTTTTCTATATTTGTATAAATAAGTCCCTATAAATAGGGGGCTAGAGGATGAATAAAGGGATTTTTCCTTGTCTTCTGTACTCGAAATTCTTAACTTCTCTACTCTCTCTCTCTCTCATTTTCCTTCTCTCGACTCTTTGGAGGCAGATATTTTTGAAAGACAACTTATGATTCAACACGTCTATATGTGCATTCTAACGTGTGAAACTATGCTTTCAATACTTTCTTTTTTTTTCAATTATTGTTTCCTTGTAAATTTCAAGTTTTTCAGGGTGATGTGCTCAGTATTTTCTTTTATCATGCAGGTTAGGCTTGTGAAAATGGTGAATGAGGCTACCTCTAACATTCCTAATTGGGATGAAGGAAGGTAGAGAGATCAGTTAGTAAAGGTGAACTACTTCCTAGCTTCCTTTCCAGAGAACAGAAACGAATCAGGAGACAGAAATTAACACCAGAGGCTGTTCAGACAAAATCTCCCTTCAGTAAGGTCTTTCTTGGATTCCTCAATTTGATATTTATGTTGGAGCAATTGAAAAGTTATTCTTTTAGCCAAGTTTCTGTAGTTGAAATGCCTTGTTACATTATTTTAACTTATGGCTTTTGAAAGATGTGTGGTTTTGAAACTTAATTTGATTTGGTTGCCCGGGTGCCACAATGCATAATCTTCCATTATTTTGGTAGAAATGTATGAAAAGCTTGCACTGAAGGTCTTAGAAGCATCCAGTTCTGTAATAATAGGCTGTGAGGTTGGGTTTGCCGCCAACATGTAATTTTAAGAAGAAAACTGTTTCTTGCTCATTTAAAAGAAGGCTACTTTTTATCAGACCTATTTTTATTTTTTGTCTTTTAGTTTTTGTTCTGGATGGAATGGAAAATATAAGAGGAAATAATTATGTAGTTGAGGCAGTAACTTTGGAAATAAATTATAACTTGTTTCAAAGATCTTGAAAGGATGTGACAACATTTAATAACGACTATTGTGGCACAATTAATTTGTAGCAATTTAAGTTCTTTAGGGTTGTTAATACTTTATTTAATAAAAGAGGGGCATATTATTATTACTTATGAGAATGAATCTAATAAAACATAAATTGATTATTTTTTTATGAGAAAAGAGGTCGTTGAGAATGTGAAGATTGTAAAGTCAGTCCAAGTTAAAATTTAAGTACTCAACATCGATTATTAGTTTTGGACTTTATGATTAGAAGTTGAAAGATAAAAAATACAATGAAACATCATTATAAAATTATATGGTGGCATCTAAAGCATATAGATAAAATTATTTTTATAAAAAACTTCATGATACCAAGTTGTGGTTTGTTCATAAAGAAATTAATGTTATCTGGGCTAAAATAAAAATCACTATTAAATAAGTGACAAAATATATATTTAAATAATTAAACGGAAATTTTTCTATAAATAAAAATAGTTTGTGGGAGAATAATAATGTGCAAAAAAATATATATATAAGTTTTGTTAAAAAATTAATTTAAATGTACAAGAATCTTCTGAGGTTTTTGATGTACTTGTGTCTTCGAAGATATGTAGCCTTCTGAGGTCTTTAATGTACTTGTGTCTTCCGAGACTTGTAACATTTTGAGGTGTTTATTGTATCTGTGTCTTTTGAGGCTTGTAATCTTGTGAGGTCTTTGATATACATGTGTCTTCTGAGGTTTATAGTTTTATGAGGTCTTTGAGTGGATACCCTGTCAACCACTTACTTTCTTGGAGTTTTTTTTTTTTAGTGAGGGCCTATCCACTCCTAGTTTCCCATCGAGACTTACCCTTAGGGCTCGTCTTCTAGAGGCATGGTAGCTTTCCATCGAGTCTTTCCTCTTGGGCTTAACTTCTAACAATATCGTATCTTTCCATCAAATTTTGCCTCTTAAGCTCAACTTCCTTGGGCATGGTAGCTTCTCATTGAGTCTTGCATCTTGGGCTCAACTTCCTGGGGTATTGTATCTTTCCATCCAGTCTTGCCTCTTAGGCTCGACTTCTAGAGACATGGTAGCTTCCCATTGCATCTTGCCTCTTGGGCTAACTTCCAAGTGTATCATATATTTTCTTGAAAATATGATTGCAGTTATACTCAAGAAAAAAATTTGACAACTCGTTAGTTGCTGATTTTGAAAATAAAGCTTAATTGTTAAATATGTAAGTGCATAGGAATTTAGTGGTATGTGTGTAAGTATTTTTCTAAACATATATTTTGGGATTCTAAATTTAAGCATACACAACAACCATCACATTTAAACAATAGTGTTTAAGGTTTACCTTAAAAATAAGAGAAAATAAAAAGACCTTAAAAGCTTCAAAGAGGAAGAAAAGAAGTCATCAAAGATCAACAGTCCTTTAAAGCAAATCAAACAGGACAAGCACAAGAAACAAAGAGACAATCAAAACCAACAAAAACCAAAATAATTTTACTTTCCTATTGATCTTATTATTGTTGAAATGTCTAAGAATTTATTAATAGCATTCTTCTAGAGGTAAAGAAGATGATGTCTACATGTTAATGATGATGATCACTGAAAAGTAGACTTTGAGACTTTCCTTGAATAATTTATCAAAGCAAAGTTAGGGGCTATCAATGCACAAAATAATTTCATAGGAATTTTGTGATGACATGCTATCATACTTTTCATTATTATTGCGGGGATGTCTAAGAATTAATTTACATCCTTCTTCTTAAGGTAATGAATATGATGTTTACATGATATTGATGATGTTCACTGAGAAGAACTCTTTGAGGTCTTCGTTATAATTTCTCAAAGCAAATCTAGGAGTTATCGACACACAAATGATTTCAAAAGAATAGCATGCTGCTAAACACCGATAAATAACATGTTGTGTTGTCATACTACCAACCACCGATAAATACAATGCTACCAAATATCACATGGGCATAAAATCGCATGAAAAGAAGATGTAAAGTTATCTTATTCAATGGTTTTGGGTAGGAGACGAGCAAAAGGAGGATAAAAAGTGGCAGTTCTGGGTCTCTACAAGCTACAATTTCGTCTTAGGGTTCGATTGCGAAGGCGATGGTGTTGGATGAAACCCAAAGAGAGCAAAGACAAGGACGAGGCCGAGGGTTTCAAGGAGGTAAGGAAGAAGAAGGGTGAGCACCAGCGCGGCGGGAGGAGAAAGGAGAAAATGAGGGATTCAGGCGGGGGGAGTATAATTAATGCATTTACTGATGGCTTATAAACAACTTCAAAGTTTTAAACAATTAATATTATGACCAACGAAAATTTCGGTCTTTTATTGAAAAAACTCGTGTTCATAAATAACCCACGCAATATGGTTGTCGGTTAATATTTGTTTATAATTGACATTATAATAGATCGACAATAATAAAAAACATCAAAAAAATATTACCATTGCTAACTGACGACATGTCCTGTAGTTATATCTTCGCAAATAACACAGCTCATAAATTGTCGCTATATCATAGGAAAATAGAGCATTTTTTTCCGACATATATTTAAACCCGTCGATTTTGCCTTCGGATTTAACACTTCATTTGTAGAGGTAGGACGACGAGTTCATTAATTTTGTAATTTTTTAAATTTGTTATTTCTTAATTAAATTTATAAAAATATATATGTAAAAGTAATTTTTTTAAAAAAAATTAATTGACTACATGGCTACAAAGATTTATAATCAATTAAAAGTATTAATGAAGAAAATAGAATAAAATTTATTAAATAATGATGTTTTAAATCTTGCCACAATTCTTAATATCTTATGGCTACGTGATTAAGGTTGTCAAAAGTACTTCTTGTCCGTGAATGACTCGTGTTCGACTCGTTAAGCAAACAAGCCGAACACAAACACACTTTCTGAGCTCGAAGTATAAACGAGCTGAGCCTGGGCTTGCTCGTGTTCGGTTCGTTTACACCCATACACTATAATGCATTCAGTATCAGCAAAAGTTTTTTTGTTTTTTTCTTACTTGTATGTAAGCTTTACGGAGTAGCCGACGATAAGGCAGAGGGCCATGAAATTATTTGATAATTGAAAGTCAAGTTTATGTTTTAAGAAAACAGGAAATTTGCTTAAAATTATTATTTCAATAGATGCAATTAAAAGCTAATATTAGTCTACTTAAAGATATATATAAATGATGATTTTACTTCCCCATTAAATTATGCAAATCTTAAATTATAATATGCTGAGCCTAAAGAAAGAATTCAATTCCCATGCAACTCCATTTTTTTCAGTATATAATTTTGATTGCAGGCCTGGAATGTGGGGCTTAGCTTAAGGGTTGAAACAAAATGATGTAAATGAGTCATGCAAAAATAAACGGAGCTCTATTCTAATTCTATATTCTTTAATTTTGTTATAATTATTATTGTGTTCAAATTAATTCATAATAGATATTTGGCTTATTTAACTTTTGCATGATATAAGTGAACTTAAACAAATATATATTATTTATTTACAATTGATCTATGCTAATAGAATTAGAGTTTTTTAGAGTTGCCTAGTGTCTGTTTTTCAAATATTCTTTTTCGTAATAAATTTAGTATATTATTTTATTGTTCTTTCTTTCTTGTTTTATTAGACCTGGTACGTGCTAGAAGATTTACGATATTAGAGTAATAGATTATCATGTTAGTGTTGCGCAAGAATTCAACACACATTTTGATAATTAAATATATATAAGCAGCAGAGGACACCTCGATCTTTTATGTGAAAAACTCTTGAAATAGGACAAAACCACAAGTCCTAACCTAGTTGAAATAATCCACTATGAATGGTGAGTACACATGCCCACTCTTCTCCTAAAATAGGGAAGATGGAATTACAAAGTTTATATTTGTAATCTGACTGTAGTTTTTGGCGGCAACAGACTGCAAGAGCTATAGTCGATTATCGCAGAGGTAATAGTCTCTCGTGAGTGTTGTAGATGGTGGTTGTAGAACCAGCTTGTAGTAGAAGTTGTAGTTGATAACCATGATAGTGGTTGGTCAGGTGAGTTGTAGATTATTTCTTCAGGAGTGTGGGTTAACCATAAAGACCATAGTAGGGAGTTATGGGAGCTATGAACCACACAGACTGTAGTTGGTCACATAGGTCGCAATAGATTAGTAATGACATTCGTAGGCCGCATGGAACTGGAGTAAGGAGTTGCACGAGCTATTGACCGCATAGGTCGTAGTTGGTCATGTAGGTCGTAATGGTGAGTAGTAATGACATATGTAGGCTGCGAGATCTGGAGTCGGAAGCTGCACAAGCTGTGAACCATGTGGGTTGTAGTTGGTCACATAAGTCTTAGTGGTGAGTTGCAACAACATTCATAGACTGTAGTGGCTGAAGTCAAAAGCGACACGAGTGTATGTGAGGTGAGCCATTACCCCATCTTCGAGATTAGATGTTGCACCGTCTTTGGATTGTGTTGTTACACCGTCTTCAAGCTGCGTTGTTGTAGCGTCTTTAGGGTTAGCTCGTGGTCCAAGATGGTGTGTCGCTTTGCAGGTTGCCTCCTGACTCGTGACGTCAGTTGTTGCTTTGCGCGGGGCTTCGTTGCAAGGAGTGGGCGGCGACAACCAACAAGGAATGGTTGATTGTGGTTGGTGGTGGTTGACAGCTGTAGAAGTAGGAGGCAACTTTAGCTCCTTCTCCAAGTTTCAAACTCTTTCCAGGCATCAAGCTCCACGTCCCCTCTCAAGATGGGGTAGGGCTCCATTTAAATAGTCTCATTTACAATTAATGAAGGAATATGAAACACTTTAATCAGATGGCTCACAAAACTTCCCTCGATCATAAAACATTTCATAAGTGTTTGAGTTCTTTAATGATGTCAGAATTGAG